AACTTTTTACCCTTTCCACTACTTTTTAATATTTACATATAATTACTAGGTGAGGTTATGCATTTGCATGGGTCTGACATTTGGTCTGTCTGTCTGTCTGTCTGCCTGCCTGCCTGCCTGCCTTTTATCTCCCAGACATGGACTAAAAGAGGACATAGTGCTAATATTATAATGCTGAATTGGTGCCTGGAAATTGTCAGTATTGGGATGGTAAGGAAAACACTTGAAATGAATCTTCCCAAGATGGAAATCATTTAGGTTTAAAAAATTTAAAAAAAATAAACTAATTTCAAAAAAATCTCACATTTGAAATGGAACTAAGTTGTAGTCTCCTATTCAGATGATTCCCAATTTGAGGGTCCTCCTGAATACACAGCTCCTGTTTGCTGAACAAGTAGCAAGTATGAGTATTTGCACAGGGAGATCCTGTGTGCCACTACCGGCAATTCCTGAACTGGGATCCTGCTCACAAACATTCATGCCTTAGTTACTTCCTGCTTGAGTACCATTCTATATGGGGAAGGAATTTATTATTTTGTGAGAGCTATTATTATTTTTATACTTAATTATCTAGAGCTTTAGAGATGGGATATATTTAGAATGAATGGATGGATGGATGGATGGATGGATGGATGAATATTAGACTACTGTTTGGGGAATTGTTGTTTAATATCTGGATATTTTAATATGTGATTCTGTCTCAGAGTTTCATACCTGATTGTTTTACTGTGTTGATATTACTGTTTTTTTAACTGTTAGCTCATCTGACAGTATTTAGACTCAAGAACAGGATGGAAAGTTTACTTAAAAATAAATATTAGACTTTTTGATTTAGCCTGACCTAAAACCAGAGCAGTTCACAGGATATTACATCTCCCAGGAGCCTCAGCCATCATGGCTAATGGTGAAGGAAATACTGTTCAGTAAGATCTGTAGGTTATACATTAGATGAAATCTGACTCCCTCTAAATAGGTATTATTTATATAGCAGGAGCCATACCTTTTCTGGTTTCTTTTGGACCAAGGGGTTGCGGGGGGAGGGGGAAAAAGGAATTTTGGAGTTTCTTTAGAAAAAATGATGTATTGAGTTTATTGCAGCTTCACTCGCTGTTTTACTGCTGATTTTAAAGAAGAAGAAAATTGAACTCAGGCAGGTAGGCGGTTGGCATAGAATTTTATCATCATAATCTTGAGAACTTTCTGGGGATTGCAAAAAACAAACAAGTAAATCAAGTCCAGGTGTTCACCTGATGGCAGATCTCTGTATGTTTTCATTTTATATGTGCAAGTGAAAGACTGTTAACACTTCTTTAAGTAAAAATGTTAAATTTAGATTGTTAACTTCTAAAAAAAACCCCTGCCTTTCAAAAGCATGCATCTATACGCCATGTGGATACACAATCTGCAGATTCTAAATGTATGTGTTGTATTTAAAATCCCACTTTATAAATTTTCCAGCAGGGGAGAAATTCCACAAACCTCTTGTTGAACAAGAGCGACGTGTTAGGCAGACCAAGCTGTGCTCCTGGTGAGAGCAGAACGCCCTCATTGTAGCAAGTCAGGAAGTATCTTGGCCTGGGACAAGGGCTATTTGTGCAGGAATGACATGGAGAGAACATTCAGGCCAAAGGAAAAAAAGTATTACATAGCAGCTCTTTCGGTGGGAAAGGGTGCTTCATGCCAGAAGTGTAGCTGAATGGAACATTGTGCACCAAGCGGAGACTGACTCAGAAAGGAGCACCCAATGAGAAGCAGGCAATGCTCGAAGGAAGCCACATCTGCCTTTAGTGGTCAGGCTCACCTGGTTGAGAACCTGCCCATTGAAAAGGCTTCACGGCACTTCAAAAAGCATGTGCAATAGATATGGGCAGCCTTCCTCTAGTATGTTTATAAGGCTGCCCAACTCAACACTGACTCTGAATGGCGTACAGACTAAGAAAAATAGCTGCAACCCTGAAAAAGCAAGCAAAAGAGAATGGTAATGGATGGATGAAATGAAAGGAAAGAAATATAGGTGGTATTGTGTATTGGTGAAACAATGAGAGAAAAGTGATGAGTGCAAGAGATCTGAATGATGTGTCTGGTCTTAAGCAATGGCTGAATGTATGGAGGCAAGTGAAGGTGTAGATTGAATTAAGAAGGTTAGAATATTCGTAGTCCTCGATTTACAACAGTTTGTTTAGTAACTGTTCAAAGTTACAATGGCACTGAAGAAAGTGACTTATGACCATTTTTCACACTTTATGACTGTTGCAGTATCCCCATGGTCATGTGATCAAAATTCAGATGCTTGGCAACTGGTTCATGTTTATGACAGTTGCGGCATACCAGGGTCATGTGATCAACCTTTGTAACCTTTTAACAAGCAAAGTCAATGAGAAAGCCCATTCATTTAACAACTGGGTTACTAATTTAACAACTGCAATAATTCACTTAACAACAGTGGCAAGAAAAGCCGTAAAATGGGGCAAAGCTCACTTAGCAAATATCTCACTTAACAACAGAAATTCTGGGCTCAATTATGGTTGTAAGTCGAGGACTATCTATATATGATTTTATTTATTTACAGTATTTATTTACAGTTGATGACTCTACAAGATTTTCTAGAGGTTTGCAAAACACTGAACATGCATTGCTAAGAACAATAAAATGTCTCACCCTAAGCCAGCATCCATATTTTCATAACCAATTCTGTTCTTAAAAAGTTCTGCAGACAAGCTACATTTTAATCATATTATAAAGTACCATTAAGAATGGTACCATCTTCATCTCCATGGGTAAAATGTGTATTCTTTACTGTTGGCTTTCATATTTTTATTTTTTATTATTTTTGTTTTTCATGTTGTAAGCCACCAAAAATCTTCAGACAACTGTAGGGCAATATAAAAGGGATATAGAATTAAATAAATTGTTTCACAGAGATGGAGCATAAACCGAAAGGAATTATACTCTTCTCCTATGACCTCAACATCTCAAGTACTCTTAACATCTCATTTCTGGATAAACCACTTAAACAGATTAGTTTTACCTGTAGCATCCCACAAATGTCCATTCACTGGATGGCCCCTCCTTTTCCCATCACCAAACTGAACTACCCATTCAGACAGACTCCTGAACTCTGCTCGAAGTCCAGAAAGATTCCTGTTAAGAGTACCCCAAAATCACAAAGAAATCTTGCAGGATGAAAAGGGGCATACCCCAACCAGGTTACAAGATCAGGGCAACCAATTTGGTTCTCATTTGTCAACTCTTCGAGGTAAGCGGGTCAAGACCACAGCAGGAATTTCAGGAATGCTATTTTATTGTTGTCATAGACTATAGGAACAAAATCTTGAAAGCCTATTCTCTCTTTCACATTTCATAATAAACAAAATCGAAGGCAGGATTACTTTTGAGTTTCTCTCTCATACTTACTTCAATCTCTGAACTGTGTACACTTTTCTCAAATTATTCTCTGATGTTTTTTTCATACCTTCCCCAAGGCTATGTCTAATATAATATCTGAATCCTGACTGAATGACGGCCAGATAACCCACTTCAACTACAATAAGTTTGTAGCTGCTGTCCCATCATTGCTCACCTCTGCAGACACAATTACACAAAACTGGCCTGTTCAGTAAGAAGCATCTGTTCTACAAGTAAATTGTAAAACAAATTGGTTAGAAATGCAGAACTGAAGTAACAAAATATGTAAAATATTCCTCAAGGAAAAAGAAAAAAGGGAAGCAAGGAATGCGAAAGAAAAAAAAAGAGCTATGAATTATTTCCATTGCTTAATTGTGGGTTTCCAAACTATGGACAGAGAAGTTAAACTGATTGTTCCCATAAGAAAATCTTTTAGGTAGCCACTTGCTTTAATGTGTTGATAGTTGTTGTAACAGTTGCATGTTTTGTCTGTCTGCTTTTGCGCATGCAAATCTGAACTGGCTTCCTGCCATCCTCACGTCTACACTGTTTCATAATCAGTTATAAAGATGCAGAGGGCTAAGAGACAATGCTCATTATTGGAAATGAGCAGCCAGGTCGCCCGACATGTATGATAATGCTCCAGTATCATCGGGTGTTGAGGGATGTTCTGAGTTCTATTTCAGCTGCATCTGGATGACCATCGGTTCTGTACATTAAACTTGTACGAAAATCCTCCATGGAGAAAACTGAAGCTATAATAAATCAACTGGCTATTATACGTTACTGATTAAATTCTTTCATTTTATCTCAATCAACTACTGCATTGTCCTCTTCTTTCTTAGAACTTATTCACTGTAGAGGAAATACCTGCATGACAACGGAGAAGATATAACATAGTGTATCTGAGTGTATATGCGTGTGAACATGGATGAATATTCATAGAGGTACAGAGACATTTTATTACAGGTAGTCTTTGAATTAGGACCACAGTTGGAAACAGAATCACTTAGCAAGGCAATTGTTAAGTGAGTTGCACCTAATTTACAACCATTCTTTCCTCAGATAAGTGAATCATTGTAGTTGTTAAATGAACTATGTGGTCATTAAGTTAATCTGATTTTCATTCATTTTGCTCATTGGAAATTGGCTGGGAAGATCACAAATGGCAATCATATGACTCTGGGATGCTGAAACTATTATACATGCTGGTTGTCAAGCATCTGAATTTAGATCATGTGACCAAACAGTTGCTAAATGAATGATTTTAAATTGAGGACTATCTACACTGATTTTATTTTGCATCGTATGTTTGTTCTAATAAAGAACTGAGAAGACAGTTTTGCCAGACAATTGCTGTGTGATTGTCTTTTTCTACTACATCTTATTTACAGCAGGTATGGATATGCAAAATCCCATCAAAGTTACCACTGCCCCTCCAGTTTCTTGCTTTTATCTCTTTTGCATCTATAATTTCTTATTCAGTGTTGTAGTGGAGTGGATTAGAAATGCAGTATCCAGTATTGAATTCTGGAGGCAGACATACCTGGTGACCTGGTGCAAAGCATCAACCTTTAAAAATATTACCGACTTACTTGTGCCTGTGCCAGTTCCAATCGTGTTGATGGTTGCAGGAACAGAGGAGGAGGAATAGAGAGGGAGGTGACCATTCTCACACGCCAGGTTTTTATCTTGCCAGTTGGAGGCATTCAAACATATGCCAGAATCCCGAGAGCTCTGCCAGCCGTTGAGTTTATCATCTGAGTTCTGTCTTTGGTGATAGTAATGTGAGTGCCCATAATCCACGGAGTCAGACCGGCCCCTGTTTTGGCTGCCAAAAATACTTGATGTGCGGTCCTCTAAGTGGTTCAACCACATGGCAAGAGCACTCCTGTCCTCCAGGGATGTGGCAGGATGGATCAAAGCATAGGACAGGAGTTGCCTGCTCTCCTCTATGTGTTGGTTATGTTCAATTGAATGAGCCAGGATTTTGGGAAGAAGCTTCATGTACTCCACTTTTCCTTCAATATTCCCTGGCTTCAACAAAGGCAGGTGGGTGAGCAACAGAGAAATCACTTTGTCCTTCGATTCCTGCTGCCACTGGTTAATGATTCCTGTTGTGCCAGGGGAAAAAAAGGGGAGGGATGGAGAGGAAAGAGAAAGAGAGAGCTGTGAAATCAGGAACCAAGCCTAAGAAGTAAATCAAGAGATCTTAACACATTATGAATAGCTTTTTGACACCTATACCATCAATAATCAAATATTTTATTTTCTTCTACTGCAGTGAAAATAAAGATGCAAAATAAAAACAACAATAAAGCAGGACAATACTTAGACTGCATGCAAACTTTTGAATCACACAGAATCTCCAAGCAAATTAAAGGGTGGTTGGAGAAGACATATATATTTACTCTTGTAAATGAAGAAGTGTCCACCGTTGTTTCAGAAAGGCTAGCATGAATACATATCATTTCATACCAATTTGTAACTAGAATCATACCCTCCTTAGAATTCAACTTCTCTGAGTAACATCCTGTTATAAACATATCTTAAAACGGATTCAGTCACCAAAATGTTTAACTGTTTTATTTGATACAGAGACACTCTTATTGTTATTTTGTAAAACTGATTACTTGTGGCTATTTTTCCAATCATGTAATTTAGGGACCATGGAAATTGCAGTCCAACCTATACAGTACAGAGGAAAAGTTGTGGTATGTTCCTGGTCACATGCAAAGGACAGGGACTGATCATTTTATAATCCAGCTGTAAAAGCCAGTACTATGCAATAAGTCTTTACCTTGCTGAAAGGCAAATATCTCAGAGCAGGGGACGAAAACATGTAACTTCATACCGTATTACAAATTAGTCTTCCCCCATCCTGTTGCCTGGGAAATCCAGATGTGCTGGAACTAGATGCATTACAGACACCATATCTGGATTACGTACATTATTAGTGCAGAGAACAGAGTGGTATCTCTTTTGGCAGCTACCAGGTTGGCAAAAATGGCTATGCATGCTGTTATCCATTAATATTAGGAAGGATCATAGTTCTATGGGGGAAAAGATCAGGCTCAGCTGGGCACTATATAACCTTCATAATGAAGCTTACAGTGGTTTCTGAGTTCAGGTGTCAGGAATGCAGGACAGTTAAAATTAGTAATTTATCAAGAGAAGAGAGAAAAGAAGAAGAAAACAAGATTAATTTAAAATACAAAAATATTTTTAACGGAAAAGTAAAATATTAATTATATGGTATTCATTACCTTATAAAATGCTTTTAATTTTTTATTAAATTTCTTTATTAAATTTCTACAAAAGACAAGATATAAAAAACAAGAAGAAAGAATTTAGCAGGAAAAATAGGGAAGGGGAGCTGCAAAAGGATAAGGAAAGAAAAGAAATAGAAAAAGAATAACTTCCAATTTTCTTCAATTCTTACAAATTTAAGATACATTAAATTTTAGATGCAAAATTCAATATTACACAGTAGTTCTATAATCATAAGCAATTCAAAACTCAAAATTAATATAGCAGTTCTTTAAGCGGTTAGCAAAAAAGTCCAAAAGTGGTTTCTACAAAGAAACGAAGTTACACAAAGTTTTTTCTTTAATCAAAGTAGTTAACTTCACCCTCTCAGCGAGTTTCACTAACTTTTCACCATCCATTCTTCCACTGTGGGAATTTGTAATTTTTTCCATCTGTATTTATACAAAGATTGCTTGAGAACAATCATATTATATTATCAGACACAAACACCTTGAGGCCCCCTTTCTGTTTAAAGATAGCCCTGTGGGGAATTCCACTCAGTACAGAAAGGAAATCATATCTAGAAATAAGTTTGATTTTTTAAAACGTGTAATTAATTGCTGGTTGCTAGCCTGTTACACCTTACCACTAATATTGAACTGTCAGGAAGTTATTTATTAGATAAACAAGATATCATGGTATATTTCTAAAGTAGCAAAATATATTTAATTATTATAAAATGCATCCTTCTACAACAGGGGTGTCAAACTCGTAACGTCACGTGACGTGTCACAATGTATCATGACTTTTTTCCCATTGCTGACAATGGGGTGGGCACGGTTTCAGCATGATGCATCCGGCCTACAGGCCAGCAGTTTGACACACCTGTTCTAAAAATAAAAAATTCAGTTATGAATCAAGGTATTTTGACAGTGAAGGAAGCAACCCAAACTGGAATGACTTACTTTTTGGAATTCCACTGAATAATATTTACTTTTATGTCTTAAAAAACCTGAAGAAGGTAAAAGATTGACTCAACCATCTTTTCCTTTAATGATTTAAATTAATCTGGTAAATATGTTGAGAATCCAAGCAAATTTCCATTTCTGCTTTCTGAGGGCCATTCATAATTCTAGTTCCTATGTTCAGTCCTGTCTGTCTATTCATTCTCCACTGCAAATATGAAATATTGGATTGACAAGGATGATTATCCATCCCTGTTTTGAAATCAGATGGTGGAAGTGTGGCTTGGAGACAGACAACCGTACTGCCTTTGTAAGCGATTATATATTAAGTGGAGGTTTACTGAAAGATAAATCACTATTAAAGAAAGAAAACAAAATAGAGAAGTATGACATGAATTCTTTGGCACATGTGTGCCTGAAGTGTCTCAACCCCACAACCCTTCTCTCTGCCGTCTGCCACCTCCAAGATGGCTCAAACCCATCAAGGCAGCTTATGTTTCATTTATACAAATCACAACTAGCTGAGAGAGAAAGAAAAACATTTTGTGGCTAATCGGGAACTTCATTAAAAGGTAACCTTTATATAATTATTGTTTATATGGAGAAGGGGAATATTTTTGTATTACTGGTTACAGCTCTTAGTATGCGAGCCCTTTTCTAGATTAAATTGAAGGCAATTCCATCTAATATTTAGAACAGTGGCTAGATACCAGTTTATAATGCTTTCCATCTCCTAGTCTTCATAAGGCAGCTGTAAAGTAGTCAGATATTCCAGTTGGTCAAAAAATGGAACATTATGAATGGGTGAATGGGCTTTCCATCATTGCTGCATACATTGTTATAAAATTTGCTGCTTTGTATGATTATTCTGATTGGGTCAGTGTTACTTTGAAACTGCCTACCTTTAAACAGTCTGCCTCATATTTTCAAAAGTCATTTTTCCAGTCTCCTGTTACATTCAATAACAGCAACACATTTGATTTTTTTCATAAAGAGTTTTTAATGTTGTATCTTTGAAGTTGAAGCTGACTTCCTATAGTTTGCTCCTTCTGTTGTTGGATTTTGTAATTTTAATTGGTGACTAAATTTTATTATTGGTAATTATTAATTTTTGTAAGATATCTAAAATCATTTTCACTGGGCAGAGAAACTATACATAAATTCATAAATAAATGCCAAGGATTAGTCAACCTTAACAGGAATCCTACTATACCTTGACTACCAAACACAATGAGATCATTATTAAGAAGAGCCAAAAAATGATAAAGATCTACATTATAACTTCAGCCTATCAGTGGTATCTCTATATGTCCTAATCTAAAATTATGGTATTCATCATATTAAAAGGCATAAGATGTAGAGCTTGGTATATCATGGAATTATGGAATGAAAGGGGTGAAAGTCATTTTGGAGAACACCTAGACTTTGGCCACAGCAGAAATCTACTGCTATAGCATATCTGGCAGATACTCATCCAACCTGCTTTTAAATATCTCTGAAGACAAGGTCACCGTCCCTCAAGGTACTCCTGTTTCATTGTCGAAAGCTCTTACAGTTAGGACATTTTTCAGTATAAACCAAAATAATTTCCTTGTAAATTAAATCTGCTCTTTCTTATCCTGTTTTCTGCCCTGTCTTCTACATGAAAGCCATAAACTCTTTATAATGCTTATCATGTCTCTCTACTATAGTCTTCTCTGTTTGATACTAAGCATAACCAATGATTTCATTTATTCCTCAAAGGTTTACCCTTCCAGACCCATTATCATCTTGGTCCCTCACGTATCGTGACTTTTTTTGCATTGCCGGAGCTGGGGTAGGTGTGGCCTCCTATGATGCAACTGGCATGATGCAGGCCAGCAGTTTGACACCCCTACTAAACAATTCCAAATTTTGCTGTTATATTAAATCAGCCTTTTTTTTTCAATCTAGGTTCACAGATCACATTTTGTAATATGTTTAGTTTGGACTCATCCTATTGAATTCAATCATTTCAGTTTATTCCATGACTTATAATTATATATAAAGCAGAAATTATGCATGTAGTGCAAAACAGAATTGTTTTTCCCTTTAAATTAGAAATAAAATGAGAAAAAAACTATCTTAAGATTTCTGTAGTTTCTCTTTTCTATAGTATTGCCTATTTCTTATAAATGCATTCCTAATTTTCCTTCTGAGAAATGTGTTTATGGATGCTTGATACCCATATCTGGAATTAAAAGAGCCTTTGAAGTGGCTAATAAAAACCAGACAGAAATTTTTAAATAACAAACTCCTGAAAAAAACCAGGAAGCAGAAATATTCCATAAAAAGAGTTTACACAAAGTTCTTTAAACCCATAAAATGTGAGTTTTGCTAGATAGGGGTTGCATTCACACATATTTAAGCTGATTATGAAATTCATCCAATTTCTGAGTTTGTACAACCTTGTGCAATACAGACAAGCAGGATTTCTATGACACAGTAATACCCTTGTCTAAGGGTACCAAGTTTATTGTGTGGTGCAAATATGCCCCAACAACATTAATTGAGCTGGTTAAGTGTGCCATGTGAATACAGCTTTCTTGTGATAATGAATTTCTTGATTCAGAAAAGGTTTATTCTCATTTCTGTCCTTCATGGCTTCCAAACTGGAAAGGCACATGGAATACCACTAATACCACTAGAGTACAGGCTGTTCATATGTAAAAATATGTTTCTTTGGATAGCTTGTGCAAGAGGACTCTTCAAAGCTGCTACTTGAATTGCCAAGGTATGGCCAGTTCAAGATCATCAAGTACACAGAGCATACACATCTAACAGGACTGGGGCCAATGAAGTTACTTTTTGTTCTCATGGACACATGCTCATATGATTAGAAGAAAAGAGCTTCAGAGCAGCTGTACTGTTCAGAGATACTT